TTTTGCGCTACCTAGCTTATTCAGTTGTACAGAGGTCCCTTTCAAAGGTTACTTCCTGCCAATAAATACACTAAAAACACTATCAAACTTAATATAGAAATATACTCTTATTTTATTCATAGTTCTCTTTATATTCATTGCCTTTTTCTAGATTTAAAATCTTTTAAATATAAATAGAAATCTACTCAATTCATGTCTGTATTGTTTTAAAAAAGTATGAGAAGTACTATAACTAATATAATAAGAAAATAGAAATATAAACTCTGCAAGTACTATAAAAGAAAAAAATAACAATGAATGAAAACATAGATATAGAATTAAATAGTAGCTAATCACTAAATCTTTTAAAGAAATTCAGAAATTTAGAAAGTTTATATATATGAATGAGTAGCAATACATTTCATTTTTAATTTTTCATGAAATGAATGATGTAGTATTAATTCTACTCTTCAGTGAGTAGCAATAAATTTCATCTCTAATTTTTTATAAAATGAAGAATTGGTGATGTAGTGCTCTTTTATAAAATGAGAGATTAGTGAATATAATGTGAAGCGCTGATCCTAAGTACTGATTCTAAAGTGTTGATTCTTCATGAGGTACTTAAATAAGCAGTGTGAGAACGAGAAGCTAGTATAAGAGATGTTGATATCAAAATACTATACATAGTTGCTCTAATAAATAGCAATATGTGAAGTGCTATGCTCTAGTCTCTATTATGCGGCTACTGCAGCAGCCTATCACTTATTACCTAAGCGCGCAGCTCACAGCTCAACTACAAAAGCTTATGAAGACATCATCATCTATGAAGATTCCTTTCAAAAGTTTCTTCCTGCCACTAAATATACTAAAAACACTATCAAACTTAATGTAAAAATATATATTTATTTATTCACATCTTTCATTATATTTATTGCCTTCTTCTAGCTCTATATATAATCTTTTAAATATGAATAAAAATTCTCTTAATCTAGATCTATATTATCTTTTGAGATAGATTCTTCTAGCACTGCTCTTATATCTTAATATATTCTACTCAGCTCTTTAGTGACCTCTTATAGATAGTTCTTCACTTTATTCATGGCTAGCAGAGTTCAATTAAATTAAAATTAGAGAAATTACTATGTCAAAGCATTTGATGAATATTATATATATTATAAATTTAGCTTTAAATATAATAATTATGAGAAGAAGATTTATTCTTTTTTATACTCTTTAGTAAAGAAAAAGAGCTTTAGAAAAAGAATTGTGATTTGATATTGATATCAATCTATATCATCACTACTATCATAGAAAAGCTTATCTGTTTTCTATTTTCATTTTCATGTAGATATTTTGCCAAGTAGTTGATAAAGATTAAGCTATATTATCTCATTCTCTATTTTCTATTTCTCTTTTATAACTAACTTCAATTCCTTATTTAAAATATTAATAATTTTTAGAGATTTAATCTTTTTTGAAATAGTTTTAGAAAGCTAGTAATGACAGAGTTTTTTCTTATTATAAGAGAAATACTTTTAAAATATGAACTTATACAAGCTCTTCTATTGTTTCTAAATACAGTTTTATATATAAACCTCCTCTTTAATTCACTATATTCAATATCTACCATGTTAAAGAAGAAGAATAATAGAGGTTTTATTAGATCAAAAAATCAATTTTCAATATTCAAAAGCTTAATCTTTATATTCAAAACAGAATTAAAGCTATTATTGTCTTATTTTCTTAATTAATTCAGGTTTCATATTGATTTTATCTTTTAAAACTCAGCAGTTCTCAGAATTCTTCATATTGTAATGACAGAAATGTTGAATTCTTTCAAAATAAGTTCATTTATAATATTAACACAGTTCTTTTCTCACTCATATCAATCAATTTGTATCTTGATAATAATCTGTTGCTGAACCTCAAATATCTCTTTAAAAGATTGACTAGAGTAGAAAGCATCTTCTAACCAGTCATCTTGAATAGTTAGAGGTAAATAATTTGATTCAAAGCCTCTTTTCATAGCATAAGCATATATTAAATTGATTAATTGAATAGATATATCAGTTATCTCTATAATCTCAATAAAAGTCTTTCTCTCAATAGATTTGAGTGTAATCACAAAAGCATGAGTAGCAATATCAGTATTTCAAGCCATATTGAAAGAAGAATTGAATTTGAAAAGAAATTTAAAAATTATTATATCAAAGTGTGTGATTTTTATATTAATAATTAGCAAGATTCTGCAGAATTAAGGTTTCATGATGTTATAATAGCGTCTTGGCAGGAAGAAACTTTTGAAAGAGACCACTATATTTTCTTTCTCTTTTCTTTTCCTCTCAACAAATTCTTTTGTATCTTAATGATATTTAATATAATTTTATATTTTTAATAATCTGGGTCTAGCCTATTACACTATATATTCAACTATTATATAGTCTTAATTTATTAATATTTTAAATATTTAAGTGTTGATAGTTGAATATATTGAATATTTGATAATTTTTGGAGAAAATTTATTGAATGCTTGATGGTGTTCACCACCAGCAGTAAAGTATATTATATTAACTTTCTTAATAATAATAATGATTTATTCTATATTCAACACCTAGGGAGCAAAATACTGACATAGTGCATAGAATATATATAATATTAAAGACAATGCAAAAGGACTAAGATATTATATCTTTCATGCACTGATCAGTTACAGGGAGACAAGGAAGGTACCACCTTGCAATGATATCATTGAAAAGTGTAGGTGTTACTCTATTCTAATAACAATACATTTCCCCAAAAAAAACTAATATGTATTTATTACTTTTAAAAGTGTAAAACGTACGGATAATCAAAGAAGTAATATCGA